GGAGGGGGGAGGAAGAATCGCGCGGGGAAGGGGAAACGCGCGGGGGGGAACTAGCGGAAAGCCGGGGGGGAAAGGAACGGGGAGATTGGGGTCGGGCCGGGGAAAGATCGTCGGGGGTCGGGGGGGAGAAGGAAAGAAGAAGAGGAATGTAAGGAGAAGAAGAAGAAGAAGAAGAAGAAGAAGAAGAAGAAAAGAACGAAGAGAAAGAAGAAGAAAAAGAAGAAAATAAAAAAAAATAAAAAAGAAAATTGTCATCGATTACTTATCTGCGCGGAGGTAGCAACGATCATGACAAGGATGGCACGGAGTGGCGACAAGGACGACGGGCACGACGACGACGATCACAACGGTGACAATGATGATGTGGTATGACGACGACGATCATGACGATGACGATGATGACGTGGCACGACGACGATGATCATGACGATGACGTGGCACTACGACGACGATCACGACGATGATGCTGATGATCGCCAGATGGTGACGACGAAGCAGGGTGGGTCGGGCGGGTGCGAACCGCACCGATACCAGTGTGACGAGTGCGAGGCTGAGGGAAAACGGGAAGCACCGAGGGGGAGGAGAGAGAGAGGGAGAGAGTGAGAGCACACACACACACTCACTCAGTCGACACGACCGAGGGTCAGACGCAGACACAGTGGCAAAGACACAAAGTCGAAGTCTTGGATTCCAAATGCCGAAACAGGAGCAAGTCACACTTAGTACGAGCACAACAGCTGAAAATTGCTGTCAGACTGGTTCCCGTACCGTACGGGGAGCCGGTATAAGTACCCGTCACACGTACGGTACCAGGGGCATTTCTGCAAAGGCCCTGAGGGCAGAACTGAAAAATGCGGTATTTGAAAGTGCCGCCCGAATTGCAGCATGGCGCCAGTTGTCCAAAATCCTACGATACCAAAGAAGGGGTTTGGAAAAAGGGTGCCAGGCCGAAAACGAGATGCAGCAGGAACAGCAAAAAGATAGACCAGTGATCGAGCCCTAGCGGAGTCCGTAACAGCTGGTGTGTCCGAAGGAGTCGAAAGCAGAATCGTATGTAGGAACAAAGTGTCCTACTGTCTTGAAAAAGGGTCTGCAGCGGTCTTTGATCAGGTCTTTGGAGTAGGTGGTGGAAGCGGTCTTCAGCGGCTGCGACAGGTAGAAGTCCAAGAAGCGTAGCAATAGTCCACATGTCCAAAGTGCAAGTGCTAGGGAGCGTCCGGTACGTGAACTGCAATGAGGTCTGATCTGGAAGCACGTTGCAAGTATCCATGTCGCAAGTTGCTGCTCCAGTAAGTCAACGAGTCGGGATGCCGGCCGATGGAACAACATGGTGGCCAAACCAGCTGCATAATCTCCAAGAACAGTGAGTCAGCAGGCCATCGTCCTCGTGCGCTTGCCATTAGATCCTTTATCGCCGGCGTCACGCAAGTTCACAAGCATTGGACAAGAGAGACAAGGTAGTGGAGAGGACAGATGAGACAAGGTTAGTCGAGGGCAGGGGCAGATCAGACATAAGGAATGAGGGTCAAGGGGAGGGTGGACTGGGTTCAAGGGTGTAAGTAGAGCGGGGTTGTGAGGTTGTAGCAGGGTTTATGCCATAGTTATATAGGTATCTAGGACATAGGCTTAGCACGATCATAGGCGCGGACTAGTTTCATGGCGTTCTTAAGATTATAGAGAGGTTCCCATGTAGATTCTTCGTTGGGGTATCCGGTCCATTTCACTTTGTATTCAGTGATTGGTTCCGCATGATCAGATACCTGAGTGGTTCGCCGGCCGATGACGGTTTTGACAACGAATTCAGGGCCTGTGTGTAGCATGATTGGTGGAGGTCTAGGATATGGGCGGTCGGCGAACTGGGGCGGGGATTCATGGTATTCTTTTAGGTACCCGACATGGAAGATTGGGTGGACACGACTCATGTAAGGGCAAAGTTGGAGTTCGTAGTTGACGGGGGAGGTTTGTTCAATGATGGGGAAGGGACCAAGCCATTTGTTGGAGAGTTTCTTGGACAAGCCGTGTTCGGGTTCAAAGCGTTTGGCGGAGAGCCAGACTTTGTCCCCTACTTTGAATGACATGTCACGTCTATGTTTGTTAGTCTTGTTGGCTTGTTGTTCTTGGGTTCGTTCAATGGCTTCGGAGGCTTTTCTTAGGAGTCTGTTCATTGTTGCTACCCATTCATTGAGAGAGGGGCAGGGGGTGGATGGGTTAAGCTGCGAAGGAACCAAGAAGTCGGAGGGCAAGCGAGGGTGGTAGCCAAGGTCGAGGTAGAATGGAGATATGCCGGTGGTAGGGCAAACGGTGTTGTTGTAGGCAATCTCGACGGCTGTGAGCAACTGATCTCAATCGTGTTGACGACGATGACAATACTTCTGCAGGATTCTTTGGAGAGTATCGTTCATCTTCTCTGTTTGTCCATCGGTCTGTGCATGGAATGCAGTGCTATACTTGAGCCTGGTTCCGTAGGCCGTGAAGAGATGTTTCCAGAATTTTGAGAGAAAGCGAGGATCACGGTCACTGATGATGTTCTCGGGGAGGCCGTGATGGCGAGCAACGTGGTCGAAGAAGAGTGTGGCGACGTCTTTGGCACTGTGCGAGGTCGTGCAAGGCATGAAGTGGGCACGTTTGGTCAAGCGACAGACAATGACGTAGATGCAATCATGCCCGTGGTCGGTCGTGGGAAGACTGCACACGAAGTCCATGGAGATGGACTGCCAACGGTGAGTAGGGATGGGCAATGATTGGAGCTTGCCGGGTTTGGCCTGGTTCGAGGGATTAACGGTTTGGCACGTGGGGCATGAGCGAATGTATGCCTTCATGTCGGCGAGTAGGGAAGGCCAGTAGTAGCGAGAGATGGTGTCGAAGGTTTTTTGGAAACCGAGATGTCCTGCGGCCTCGGCGTCGTGGTGCTAGGCCAAGAGCTGAGTACGGAGGCCTCGTGCGTCGGGGATGCAAAGTCGGCGAGTGCCTTTGGTATCGGTGTAGAGGAGGTTGTTGTGGAGGGAGCAGTCGGGAACTGGGTAAAGATCACGAAGCTTGTTTTAAATGGTGGCGAAGTCTGATCAGGCGAGATAACCTTGGGTGTATCGATGATGAAATGATGGAAGGAGTTGGATATGAGTCATGGCGGTGTAGACTTTCTCGGGGGGCTTGTGGTCGGGTCGTTGAGAGAGGGCATCCACAACGCGGTTGCTTTTGTCGGGGGTATGGCAAATGGTGAATGTGAACTGGGCAAGGAAGTCTAGTAAGCGGGCTTGGCGTGGAGTGATATCTTTCTTGGAGAGGATGGAGGAGACGATGGTGTTGTCAGTGCGGATGGTGAAGTATTGCCCGTCGAGGTACGGGCGCCAGACTGCGAGCGCGTGAATCACGGCGAGGAGTTCCTTCTCGTTGGAGGGGTAATTCATCTCCACGGGGAGGAGCTTCTTGCTTGCGAAGGCGATGGGGTATTCGCCAGGTGGAGCCTCGGGGTGAGTGGGTGAGTCCTTGATGGAGTCTCGACGGTGTCGCGGGGGAAATGTTGGGACAGTACGGCTCCAATGGCGAAGTCGGAGGTGTCAGTGGTGCCATAGAAATGGCGAGTGCGGTCGGCGATCTTGAGGACAGGGGCTGTGGTGATGGTTTGCTTGAGTAAGTTGTAAGCGTGTTGGTGGGGATCGTTCCAATGGAAGGGATCGTCCTTGCGGGTGAGTTCGTGGAGAGGGTAAGAGATCTCGACAAAGTTGCGAATGAACGGGCGGTAATAGTTGGCAAGGTCGAGGAAGGAACGGAGTTGGAGAAGGCTCTTGGGCGGGCGGTACTCAACGAGGGTTGTGACCTTCGAGGGGTCCATACGGATGCCTTTAGCGGAGAGGTATTCGATGCTCGAAGCGGCAAACATACATTTGCTGAGCTTGGCGTAAAATTTTTGTTCTCGGAGGATCGAGAGAACTTTGCGGAGGTGTTGAAGGTGGGACTCGAAGGTGGGGCTGAAGACAAGGATGTCATCAAGGTAGACGACGACGCAAACTTCGAGGAGGTTGCGGAAGACGTGGTTCATTGTAGATTGGAAGGTGGCGTGGGCATTGGTGACTCCGAATGGTCTTATGAGGAACTCGATGTGCCCGAACCGAGAGCGGAAGGCGGTCTTGTGGGTGTCCTCGCGGATACGGATCTGGTGGAAGCCATTGCGAAGACCGATCTTGGTAAAGTACTTGGCTCCACGGAGACGATCAAGGCGCTCGGAAATCTGAGGTAGGGGGTACTTGTTTTTTTATCGTGATCCGGTTCAAGGCGCGGTAGTCTGTGCACATGCGGAGTTCCGAAGTTCCACCTTTCTTGACGAAAAGGCATCTGGTTCCGAAGGGGGATGAACTTGGCTTAATTAACCCTTTTTCAAGGAGTTCACTGAGTTGCCGCTTCATTTCTTCGGCTTCGGGGACAGAGAGTTGGTGTGGAGGGCGGCAAGGTGGAGAATGTCCGGGTTCCAAATCAATGGTATGGGATACGCCACGATCCGGAGGTAGTCCGACGGGTAAGTACTAAGGAAAGACGTCCTTGAACTCGTCGAGGACTGAGGTGATAGCGGGGTTGGAGGGGGGGGGTTGATCGGGTTTGTCCGTCGGGAGTAAGTCCTCGGGACTTTCGCCATTAAGGACAAGACAGTAGTAGGCGGAGTCGGGGTTTAGGCGAGCCATGTGGAGGAATTGGTGAGGGGTGACGGAGCCTAGGGAGGTCGGATATGGGAGATAGGGGATGTCAATGGTTGTGTCGGGGGGGTTGGTGAGGCGAAGGAAGTTGGGGTGGAATGTGTATGGCATGTAGCGGTCCAGCTACGGGGTTCCTAAGACGATGTTGCACATCAAGTGCATGACATCAAACGAGACTTGACTGCGGAGGGTTCCGACGGTCATGGTGGTCTCGGGAACCGTGCGCTCTACTACGACGATGGTGTCTTTGTCCCCTAGGCGAATCTTGATCGGGGAGCCATAACCGGTAAAGGTAAGACCGACTTTGCTGACGCACGTGTCGGTGATGAAGTTACCGGTGGCTCCAATGTCGAGGAGGGCCCGAAACTTAGTTCTAGACGCACCAAGGGTGGTGGCGATGTATTTGAGGTGGAAATGAGATGAGTTGGCGGTGGAGATGATGGTGTTGAGGCGACGTTGTTCATTGCCTAAGCGGACAAGCCGATCGTGTCGAGCTTGTTCCTCAACTACATCAAAGAAGGTGATAGTGGATGGGTTTGGAAGAAGGGTAGAGGAGCATGAGGCAGTGGGAGGCGTTTGCGACGCCTGGGAGTCGTCCGGTGGAGGGAGCGTTGTCGAGCACATCGGCCCGCGTGTGAGCGAGGACCCTCCCGGTCGCATCACGCAGGAGAAACTTAGGCTTTTAACTTTTCAGAGACAACTTGGGGACGACACGGTAACCCGGACCGACCCTTCGCCGCTCCGGCCAAGTGCGCCAACCGTACATCTTGCGGTCCCCTACGACAAAATAGGTTCTCGCAGGGCACCCTTAGGTGCGTATCCCTACCGAGCGACCAGCCAAGGTGCGAAGGCTTTTATGATGCAATTGCAAAGGTAGGCCGGCCGAGGCGTTTGCTCGTTCGCTGTCGCATAGGTACGGGCGGTTGAACGCCAAAGCAGACCCGAGCGTCGTTCGTCCCTAGAGTGCTGATCCACCGGGACATGATAACCCAAGCGTAAGAAAATCTCAATCAATTCTACTCCCTTCTTTCAAAGACAATCAAGAGTTACTCAGACAAAACACTTTCAAATGAAGAAGACTCACAACAACGTAAGTTGACTTACCTTCTGAAATCGATTCATCTATATTACAATCCAACACGCATACCACCTATTCAGAACGAGTCAACATAGGCCAACTTGACTTGCCATCCAACGACGAGCTAACATGAGTTCGTCTTCAAACATCACTTATCAACAAAAAGATAAAAGCATGATTAACATGCATAGTGACGCTCAAATGGCGTCTAACCAAAATATCTCCATTCTGCCTGCCAAATGGCTGGGCTAACACAACTTCTCGACTTGATGAGATGCGTTGCCAAGTTCTTTCATTCCGCCCCATACTGACTGCTAGAAAAGAAACACAGACAACTCCTAATTCTCAAGTAGAGCTAGGTACATTGGCTTGAATGGTGACTTCACTATCTTTCTAACTTTGGTGTGAATGACATCTACAAGTAATCCGACGACCACTATTCAAATTAGCAGCCCATTTAGACAACGGATGCATTGGTTACCCGCCTTCAACATAAGAATCTTCAAAGCATTGCTTTAGTCGCTACTTCCTATCAACCCATCTCAACTTCCCCAGGTTTGCACTTCTTATGGTGCAGACCTACCTGCGAAGGTAGTGCCTACTCGCACTCCATCCAAGACTAGTAATTACACGAACTGGGCTTCTTTTGGCGCCAATTCCCCATACGTTAGCGGCTCCTAAAACGGCCACTAGAGGGGTACGGTATGGCATCTCCCCTTAACGCGAGGCGTCAAGAAACTTAAGGCCCTTCCGTGAATAGGCGCATGTCCTTTCCCTAGGAGGTGGTCTGGGACACCCCTCATCCTCGCCCGAGCGAACCTCGGATCTCAAAAGTCGGGTTGGCTCCACCACAACAGCATGGTATCTCCTCGCATAAGCGGTCCAGTCCAAGTCGATAGCAGGGTCGGCCCCTAAGGCAACGAACCCCCCCTCAGATGCCTCCTAGGAAAGGGAAAAATGTCTATCACGGCAGGCAAATCGATCCCCTGTCGCCTGACGTCAAGGGTAACTTAGACGGAAAAAAAAAGATCACAAAAGAGAAAATCATTCAGAGAGACGAGCATAGACAGGGAAGGTCATTCGAGGAAAAACGGGTAACCTCAGAAAAAAAATCTATGTCCGATTGGTTTCTTCTTCTTTGTGTGACCAAATTCCTTCGTGTCATCTACTGGTTGTCCTTCCCTTCAACATGCATGCAAGCGAGAAATAGAAAATAACCATCCTTCTATTCACTTCCATTAACATGGATAGGGTCCTCTTTATCAGGCATCCTTCTACCTACCTGAACATCAAGACACAACAAGTTCAAAAGAAGACAATACAATCCCAAACTCATGTCAGACTCCCATTCACACATGCAAACAAAACACAACTTCCTCTTCACACAGGTGTGAAGGGTTCTGAGTCAAACTAACTGACCTTGAGTGAAGTTGATGTACGGCTCACTCAAGAAAACCGTATGAACTCTCGTCTTCATATGAGAAAAACTATCACAACGAGCCGTCCGCAAAGTGATCCACACCACTCCCTTGTGACGACCGCCTGCCACAATACCTCCTCAACATACAATCACTTCCCAACAGTCTAACAGTGTCTCAGCGTCGCCGTCACACCAACGGCACCATCACGCCGTTGCCGTCAATACCAGAACTCGCTGCCACAAAATGTCCCTCACAGTCAAGACAATCCGGGCAGTCTCACGCACCATTGCTGTCAATGCTGCCATCAACCACCACTAGCGTCACTGCGACACCATCACCAGCGTCAACGTGTTGCCGCCGAGCTATGCGGACAGCATAATGCCAGTACTAACTCGAAAAAAAAAACATGCCGCCACTTTGACGACACTTCCCCTGTGTCAATGCCTCGTCGCCGCAAAAAACGGGCAGCGCTTTCGCGCCACCATCCAAAATACACTGCTGCCGCCGTGCAAAACGGGCAGCGATTCCGCGCCACCACCTAAAATACACTGCTGCCGCCGCACAAAATGGGCAGCACTTCCCCTCTGCACCTCACCACAATCGGCTGCCGTCGCCGCAAAAAATGGGCAACGCTTCCGCGCCTCCGCCAAAAAGTGCCTCCGTTGTCGTGCCGAGCGGACAGCACCCCCCCTTGCGTTTCACCAAGTATAGCGACAGCTATGGCTACCCTCACTTCCGCGCTCTCTGCAAACCTCCAACTCTTCTCTCTCTTCCCCTCGTTGAGATGGCGACTATGGTTGTGTTTCACTGCTATGGCCACCTTCAGCAGTCCTCCCCTCTCTCTTGCAGACCTCCACTCAGCTCCTTCCCACTCCACCAGCAGCTCCTCCACCAGCCAGCATTCACCCAAGCGAAATGCTACACGTAGCAGCACCAGCCACAAATGAATGCTGGCTGGCTGGCTGCTGGCTGTTTTATATGGCATAAGGCTGAGGGCAGCTACTTTGCCCCCAGCCAAAATTCGGAGTGAGGCCTGACCCTTGATCTCAAACGCGATCAAGGGTTGAGAAACTTGATGTTCCCCTAGGGGAGCCAAGTTTCAGGCCTTGGTAATGCATCTAGCCGCTACCCCCGGCTAGATGCAGCCTTAAATGGTTGTATAGAGCCAAGTAGAGCAGACTGGTTCAACAATCTCCTGTCAACTCAAAGTCTAGATGCTTCTACCCCTGCATTAGGCCCTGCGTCGCGATTAGATTCGCGACGTTCTGTTTTTTTTTTTTTTTTTTTTTTTCCCATCTCCCCCCCTTCATTTCCTCCCTGTGAGGGGAAGCTCGTTCTTCGAAACGAGCGGCCTCCCACACTGTGTCATTTCACATAGTCGAACTGGAGTCAAGCTGAACTTGGTCTTACTTTTCCTTTGCCCTGTGCACCTGTACCCGGACACAAACGGCGCCCCGTACAGGCATCGTTTCCGCAGCCCGTTCTTCAAATGAACGAGCACTGCAGCGGACCTCTGGTTGGCCTGTGAGACCAGCCCCTTGGCCTGTTCTCACAGGCCTGTGTTGTATTCAGGGTAGTCCTGTCCAGACCGGTACCTCTGTCGTTACCAGCCAGTCCAGTCCAGTCCAGTCAGTCCGCTGGGGTATACCCCAACTGTTGTCTGTTTTCTGGATCATTCTACATTCGCACAGTTTGGAGTACGTGCATTGGAGTCTAGCGTGGGAGCTGTGCTGTGCCATCTCGCTCCCCCTCTTCTTCCTCCATCTCCATCTCTATCCCAGGCGGAGCACCACACCTGGTGGGTCCACCACATTGGTATCGAAGCGGGACCGATCCTTGATCCCGCCCACCCACCCAAGTCATCCCGCTGTCCGGTAGTGGATGGTGATGTACTTTCCCTGTTGGGAAAGTACTGCAGAAGATCTGCCCGCCATCATTACGGGCGCCACGGAGCTGCAGCAAGCAAAAAGCGGCATCTCGTAGGCCGACTGCAATCATTGCAGGCGGCAGTAGTGCTAGGCCGCTTGTGCAAGAGGGCCGAAGCAGCAAGCTCCGCCAGCCCCATTGGCGGCGCTGTCAAATTTTGGCTGCGAAAATTTTCGTTTTTGCATGATGGTGATCATGCACTTTGCGGCGCGTGGGATTTGAACCCGGGCAGACGGCGGCAGCGGATGTTACGGGACGGTGTGATAACCACTGCGCCAAGTGTCGCAGGTGGCTGGAACGGACGAAAGGAGCTTTTTGCTCACCCCACTCACTTCCTTCTAATCACTCTCACCACTCATACCCCTCTCCCCACCT